TTGAGGCTTTAGAACTAGTGGTACCTGAGATGAGAAGCAAGAATGATGGAATGAGATTGGGTGACCAATCAGGGTGTCCAATAGGAGTGTCTGCAGAGTGGAGGATGCTGGATACAAGGAGTAGGGGGCGTTCCATGTGAAGAAGTGACTTCATCATTTAGACCTTGGTAGGTTTGGTTTAAGGTTTGAGAAGAAAATTGAAATAAGAGTCATTTGGAAAGGCAGTTGAGGAATGAGAGAGAATAGGGAATTGAGGGATGAGGGAGTCCAGAGGGTGAGAACTGTATAGTGAGTGGGTAAGGAAAGGTGAGCCCAGTTGTGGTGACTGAGGTGGTCTGTCCGATTTGAATACAGCTGGTGCTGAATGTAATATATGAAGGTGAAATCCTAATGAGTATAGCTTGGGAGTCAGAGATAACAGTGGCAGGATTGGAGTGGTAGATTTGGGGTTGTCTATACTGAATGAGTAAGAATGCAGTTCCTGAGATCTGGGCTCAGGAGAGTTAGGTTTCAGGACTTGGAGATTTGAGGGACTGGCTCTACCAGTATCTGGTATAAAACTACAGCTTTGGCTGTGGTTAGATCTGGGTTAACACATTTGAGGATGAAATTGGGTGAGTAGACTTGGGAACAAATAATTAAAACTTGAGACTAAGGGGAATAGGGGTGAGATATGGTCAGTATGCCTTTGATAACCTGGGTAGAAGTTAAGAAGGTAGACTCTACAGATTTGGAAGCTGTGGTGATACGGAGTGAAGGGGCCCAGCAGGTTTAAGGGTAAAACTGGAATCAATGGTTCTCCCCAGTTGTGACTAGACTGGGTAAGGCAGCAGAAGAACAGTGGCTCAGACTTGGAGCTGAGAGTGTAAAGGGAACACTGCTTATGTAAGAGAACAAAATCGAAACAAAACTAACCCCAGAACCTTCCATCCCTTTCCCTGGGCTAGATTTCTTTTTCTTTAAAGGAGTTCTCCATCATGGGGCGAGTTTCTTAATTTACAATCAGTAGTGTATCATGTAGCTCAGAATCCCATCCACAAGGACCAACCTGAACTTTCAGAAATAATTTACTAAGGTGAAGAAGAAAGGAAATTGAGTCCAGAGAACACTAGAAGCATACCCAGTTCAATTTATAAGGCAGAGCTTCCCAACCCTGCTGTTTCTACCCTTTCCGACATCCCATAGGAATTGCTCTGGTCTGTGGGTTTGTCTGGCTTGCTCTTAGGGACAGAGCTGGTGTCCTGGCTCCCTGCCAGGGAAGGGCCTTCCCACACCCCAGTAAGGCTCTGGTCTCCTAGACACCTTGCCTCTTGCCTGGCAGCAGAGGGTTTTCTCATTAATCAGCAACATAAACAAATGGTCTAACCCCTCAGGAGAGACTTCTCCTCCTCACGGGGGTTTGGGTGGCTTGGTCCTTCACCTGCCCGTGAGTTTAACAGATACCTTAATTATAACCAGCATCTGTACAGCAAGAATCATGATAGCCGTACAGAAATGAGGGGGTCATTCTGTCACAGGGATATGGGATGATCAACAAGAGATCAAGTTGAGGAATTGTTTGAGGAGCAGCTGGGATTTGAGGTGACGGTTTGCCCTGTGTGGGAGTGAGCGGGACAGATTTGTCAGCATCTACAGTGGATGAAGTAAAAGGTTTGAGTGTAGGGTGAGTGATCTGTCTGAAGTTTGGGGCTGAGATTTGGGTATAATGTGTTTTGGTGTTGCCACATTTGGAATTGAGACTGGACTGAAGTTTTTAACCTGAAGATGAGAATTAACTGAGATTTTTTTTCTGCAATGAGCATGGGCTTTGAAGTACATAAACATGGGGGTTCTCTGCACTGGAAATACCGAATTGGGAGGTAAGGGTGTTGGGGACTGGGTGACTTGGATTGTGGTAAAGGTGGTATCTGGGACTGGGCATTTCTGTGCATTGGGAGATTACACGATGCTGATGGTTATAGACACCAGTGAAATTCTGAGTATGTTTTGGTGGGGAAAACATCAACAGAAACAGCATTAGACTTTGGGAGAAGAGTTAGAGGCCTGGGAAAGGTGAGAAGCAGTGAGACTGAATCAACAGTAGAATCTGACTTTCCCTTCGTATTTGTTGATTCTGAAGGTGGGTCATGAGCCGATGCCCCCCACCATTGGGACCAATGTGCTGGGGAGGAAGGTCCTCTACCTGCCGAGCTTCTTCACTTACGGTGAGTGTGCTTCCCAGGCAGGAAAGCCACTAAAAAGAAGCATCAGACAGGGAGCAGGCCTAGCTGGCCCTGGGGAACATGTCAGGCAGCTCAGGGCACCCAGAGTCAGAGCTGGGGTGGAGGACGGATTACAGGCAGTGGGATGTCGGTGTGGGAGCAGCTGACCAGTCCAGCTCCTCTGCCTAAGCTTCCAGCCGGCAGCCCAGGTGGCAGGAGAGGCAGACAGGTGCCTGAGAGAGGGCAGTCCAGGACAGTGGTTCCTGTCGTCCCTGCACCCCAAGCTATGCCTGGAAGCAGGGGTGGGAGTGGTTCTCCTTTTGCCTTTTGAGCAGTCCGGCCACCCTGTTAGCATTTCTTTCCTGCTACTCCAGCAGGAGCCTGTTGGGGCCTCCTGGATTCTTTTCCTTCGTCCTGTTCCCCTGCATTCCCCAGGCAGTGGTGCCTACCTGCCCTGGCATCTCCACCCCCTGGGTCTAGAATGGTGCACAGTGGGTCTCAGCTTCACTTCTGGTGTGCCCTGATCAGCTGCATAAGCTCAGGCAGGCTACTAACTGCTTTGGCCTCACGCTCATCAACTTCTTCATGTTCAGGCCCTTCATACAATCACCCCCTCTCTGCCCTCTGCAGCTCTGCCTGCCAGAGGTCTCTCCACCAAGAAGCCCGCCATGGTGGAGCTTGCCCTGTGCCAGTGAGGCCCACCTGGCTGCCTCTGCTCCTCACCCCCTGGCCCCTAACTGGCCAAAGCCATTTCAGATCTGCCATCCCTGTCCCCCTCCCAGTCCTCACCTCCATGGGGCTTCTCTAAACGTACCCCCTGCTCTCTGTGTTCACGCCAGGTGACCCACTCATGCTTCCTCCACCTCTTTTCTTAACTGTTCAGTTTAGAATGTTCTCTGAGAATCTTTCTGCCAAATAACTTGGGGCCTTGACTCCTGTCACCTTTTTTTTTTTCCCCACTTTACACACTGTTGGCAGAATCTGATGTCATGTTTCTCCACCAGTTTTGTCATTATGGTGTTGAGTACAGCGTAGCGCCGGGCAGAAAATGTTTTGTTAGGAAATCTGTTTGTGTTTGTTTCATTGTAAAATTGTCAGTATTGAAACAAGATTACACTGTATAGCACAGGGAAATATACACAAAATGTTATGATAGCTCACAGAGGAAAAAATGTGACAATGAGTGTGTATATGTCCATGAATGACTGAAAAATTGTGCTGAACACTGGAATTTGACACAACATTGTAAAATGATTATAAATCAATAAAAAATGTTAAAAAAAATTGTCAGTATTGAGGAGGAGGACATCACAGAGTCAGGAAGGCATCCCCACGGTAGGACAATGAAGCCACTATATAAAGTGAATACTGGATTTGTGTAAGGCCAGGGTGGCAGGCTGCCAGCCCCTCCATGTGGTTCCTCTGTACGTGGCTATTCTTCCTCTAGTCCAAGAGAGGTTGGAACCCAGACCATCTTTGTTCACGTCACATGGTCATTTCCGAAAAGACTCGGAGTAAAGGGATCTTGACAATCACCTTATTGCCTCTTGCAAAAATGAGCAGAGTTCCAAGGTGACCCTCACCCTGATTAAATAAATGTTGTTTCAGTCCAGATGCTTGATGCGCATTTCTAGACACAATTCCTACTCTTGAGTTGGGGAGGGGGTTCAGCTGTCTGACTGCTGAGAGACTGGACGAGATCTACTTCTCCCCATCACGGTGAAGAGCACCACAGCTGCTGTGACATTCTTCTGTGTTCTCCTCGGGGGACTTCATAGAGTTTTCTGGGGACTGCAGAAAAACATGATGGAGCCCTAGGCCAGCCAGGGGGCCCTTTGGGCATTTCTGCATACCTTTCTCTGCTCTCCCTTGTTCATAATTCTGGTCTGAGATGGAGAAATAGGGGTCCTTACTCCTTTTTTTTCTAGTAGGCAAATCGGATAGAAAGAGGTTAAGTTTCCTTCTGGAGCTCACACTCAAGCTTTTTCCTTTTGCTGACTGGAGCTCCCTTCCCCCAAATAAACCTTCCTTCCTGTTCTCCCCGTGCAGCAGGCTATCACATCGCCCCAGCATCCTCTCCCTTCTTACCCCTGTGTCTCCAGCCCACACCCATCTCAGGAAGCCGAACATGCAGGTACCAGGTGCTCCGGCGCCCAGGGAAAGCCAGTGCTAGCTGCCACGTGGAATGGTGGGGTCGTGGACATGTTGCGGAGAGAAGGGCACGCTTGCTGGTTCCTGCCACTGTGCGGTGCTGGAGAGCTAAAGTCTGAGCGAGATCTGAGGGGAGCACATTGTCTGAGGGAATGTTCTGCTAGCTTCCAGGTATTCAGGTTTATAAAAATAGTCTCCATTTTGAACATCATTTAAAAGTTGTTATTGAATAAAACAGAAGTTTAAGAAAGGTATCCTTTTAGAGACCCTAACAAGAAAACACTGACTCACACTGGTAGGATCTAGCTTCTCTGACTGCCTAAGTTTTTTTATGTATGTTCATTGGTGCCTCTGTTTTAGTTACTTCTCCACTGGTTTTATAAATGCCAGTAGGAGCCAGGTGGGATCCTGGGTGCAGCACAGTGACAGAGTAGGACCGGCCCTCTCCGTGGCATGCTCCAGGGACACTCTTGAGCTTTTTTCCTAGGAGCCCTTCCTTTTCCTTTTTCTTCCCTTAAGTTACAAACTTCAGTATTGTTGATGGGCACTTGTTTGCCTTTTTTTCTTTTCTTGGAGAGAAACATTTTTTATAAGCAACAGGATTGGTTTCTAGGTTGTGTCACTTAAGTTGCTGGGTTGAAAAACTGCAGCTAAGCTTGCCAAGTAGATTTTTCAAAGCTACAAAAAGAAAATGTATCAACTTATTTGTCGAAAAATATGGTTTGAAGGTTTTACAAAAAGAAATGGGCTAAAGAAGACATTTGAGGGTGGTGCCTGATTGCTTCTGGGGTCCTGAATGATGCTCCCTTCCACAACTGAAGTCAGCATGTACCATGTACTGAGGGACAGGCTGCATCTGGTCTGGGTGTGAATATGGCGCAGGAATGGGTGCATCTGGGCTGGGTGTGACGCTGCCACCTCTGCTTTCTTGTAGCCAAGTACATTGTGCAAGTAGATGGGAAGATAGGGCTGTTCCGAGGCCTGAGCCCCCGACTGATGTCCAACGCCCTCTCTACCGTGACCCGGGGCAGCATGAAGAAGGTGAGCCCGGGGAGAAGCCAGGAATGGTTGCCTGAGATTTCCCTGAGGTCCCACTTCGCTTGGAGGCAGCTGTGTACACCAGTCCTGCTTCTCTGTTCCCAGACTGGTTCCCAGACTGGTTGGGCTCCACCCCAGCACTGTAGCCAGGCTCCAAACCCTGGTGGTCCAACGCCAAGTCTCCTCAGTTGGGCAGGATCCTGCCCCACAGTCTGCCAGCTTGATTTCCCACAACTGTGATGCCAGGCAGGGGCTTTTCTGGCCCCTAGCGCCAGCCCCAGGGTTACTCGAGGCTGGCCCAGCTAATAGACGCTGCCAAGAAAATAGTAGGAGCTGCTTCTTGCTGTCTCTGTCCTTTCAGAGTTATGTTTATGAGATGTGGCTATACTTTGCTTCTATTAATTTTGGAGGGGAAGGTAATTAGGTTTATTCGTCTATTTATTTAATGGAGGTACTAGGGCATGAACCCAGGACCTCATGCATGCTAGGCATGCACTCTACCACTGAGCTGTACCCTCCCCCTGTACTTTGCGCTGATCTGCCTTTGTTCTTTACATCTCAGGTTTTCCCTCCAGATGAGATCGAGCAGGTTTCCAACAAGGATGACATGAAGACTTCTCTAAAGAAAGTGGTGAAGGAAGTGGGTATCTGGAATTTGAGAGGAGAGTCTGATTATTTCTCACTGCTAGGTTGGGCAGGTCATTGAGAAGTCACGAGTTGGGTCCTCCTGTGTGCACAGGAGTGTGGTGGGACTGCAAGGAATCCCAGAAAGCCTCTCAGCTGCCATGGGGCCTGGCCTGGGACCCGGCAGCACTCCTGCCTAAAGGGAATTGTGTGTGAGTGACAGGTGGGGCCATCGGAGGTAGACTGGCTCCACGTGGGGGCTGCAGGATCCCAGTTTTGCCCCCATAAGTGCTTGTTGCTCCCTGTGAGTCCCAGTTCCAGAGACAGGCCAGACCAAGTCCCTGCCCTCTGCTCTCTTGCAGACTTCATACGAGATGATGATGCAGTGCGTGTCCCGCATGCTGGCCCACCCCCTGCATGGTGAGCCGGCCCACTGGAGACTGCATCTCAGCCGTGGGATGACCCCTCGTGGACTGTAGATGGGCAGCGGTAGAATTACTGGGAAGCGGTGTTACTGGGATTGGCCGGAAATCCTGTCCACAGGGAGCTGGGGCTCTTCCAGGCATAAGAAATGGGATGCCGTGGTCATGGGGCATGATGGGGATTCCCTCTGACACAGGCCATGTTGCACAGTGGCCTCTGTGCCAGGCACCCCACAGCTGGTTGGGGAGTCGTGAGCTTTGGCCACCATGTCACCTGGGTGTGTTTTCTTTTTCCTCAGTCATCTCAATGCGCTGCATGGTCCAGTTTGTGGGACGGGAGGCCAAGTACAGGTGGGTGATTCTTCTCAGGATTGGCAGGAGTGGCCCTGTCAGCATTTAGAATCTGCCGGGACAGGCCGTGCTGGGGTCAGCCGCTGGCCCTTTTCTGCCCTAGCTCTGACATGCTAGCTTCAGAGCAGGGGTGTAGTGGCTTCCATAGTCTGTGTGCAGAGGCATTTTCTCCCTCTTGCCCAGAGCTAACCTGGATAAGCCTAGATGGCCCACACAGGGTGAGTGGGGTTGGAGTCAGCTTGGATTAGGAGTTCTGGCAGGGTTTCCTCCTAGACTCTCTAGGCTACGCCCTAACCATTTCTCTAGCTCTCATAGAAGCCACTTAATAGTTATATCCTCTGCTGAGCAGCCGTCCACACCATGGCCTTGGGGGCTCATCCCTTCCATTGGTTACCACATATGTACCCAGCACCTGCTGTGCCTAGCACTGAGCTGGGTGCTGTGGGAGCCTAGGTGTGTTGACACAGCCCTTTCCTGTGGCACTTGTGCCCTCCCTGCTCCTTTGAGGCTCAGTGCAGAACAGGAGGGAGATCCCAGAGGTATATGGTGGGAATACAGATTCTCAGATGCTCATTTTCTGGGATTAGTTGTTTTATGCAGCTGTCCTTGGGGCCACTGTCCCAGGAAGTTTGGCTGCCCTGGTACCTTATTTTGGGTTCACTAATAGCACTAATGGGAAATTGGCCCACTCCCCCAGAGTGAAACTCGAGGTTAGTAGATGGGACCGGAAGGGGATGATCTGGCTCAGAACCACTGTCCTGAGAAGAAAGGGTATTGGGCCCTGGGTGAGCTCTGGCTCCCACTGTCTTTCTCCTAGGCCACCCCAGTCCCCTTGGCTTTGCAGAGCCTCCATGCAGGACTGGCCACTTGGCACTGCTAGCCACGGGTCACAGAGCTTGCTCTTGAGCCTCCTTTGCATTTTATGCCGAAGACACCGCAGCTTGTCTTCTGATCTCTAACAGGCTGCAGCGGCCTGGGCGCTCATGCCTAGCTCCTTGCTGGGGAGGACCAGATGCCTTTTCCCAGGCTGCATCTTCTGCTGCAGGGTCCTGTGTTCCTTTTGTGCCCTCTGGGAGGGTGCTTCTCTTCACGCATCACCCCTCCTCCTCTCTCTCTATCCGGCATGCAGGCTTCTCTGCCAGAAGGTTGTTTAGTCAGAGATAAGCTGTAGGGCTGGGCAGGAGAAGGGCCCATCCCCTCTGCAGCAGCCCAGGCTGGAGGGTTCATTCCTGTGTTCCAGACCCACAGAAAACAGCAGTAGAGAACTGGGGGTCTGCCCTTGGGTGGTTGGGTTTCTTCAGTCTCCATGAACTGTGTAGAACCCCCTCACCTCTAAACAAGAGTTCTGATCGTCTCGACTTGGGTTCTGCCTGGCAACAGAATTTCCCCATCCCAGCCAGGACTGAATGGCTCGGAGCAGGGGTGGTGGGCTCTGCTCCACACCAGGGCATGGGCTTCTCTAAGGTGACCGGGTGACCTCATATCCCTGTGTTCTTCACAGTGGCGTCTTGAGCTCCATTGGGAAGATTTTCAAAGAAGAGGGGCTGCTGGGATTCTTTGTGTACGTGAGTTTATACACCCCATAACTGGCCACGGGCATGGCTCTACTAACAGGCATTCTCAGCCTCAAAGGCTGCAGGTGCCGGCCTCACACTAACCACAGGGCTCTGTCCCCGCTACTCCCCCGCCTGAGCAGCTGTACCTCAGCCCATAGGGCTCCATAGTACTGCGAGCTGTGGACCGTCTGGACCAAAGCTGCCCAGCCCTTTCCAGGTCATGGCTCACACGGAAATGGTACTGTTTGTCCAGCACACTGGGGGCATGGACTGACCTCCCCCTCAACCCCAGTGCCCCCATCCATTTACGCCAGGGCTGGGGGTGGGCACGGGGCTAGTCTTAAGGATGTCTCCAGGTCTTCCATCATCCTTGGTTTCACTGCTGAAAAATAACTGAATATCTGTAAATTGGGCTGAGGGTCAAGCTCTGGCAGGTCACAAGCTGACTAGCTATTGGATCCTGTTTGACATAGCATTTCTGACAAATTAGTTTTTTGTATTCAACATTTAGGATATTTCATATAACAATTCATACTTCTGGCTTCTCTTGAAAAGTCAGGACCTGACCGTGCTGTGCCTGTGTTTCTGTAGAGCAGCTGTTGGCAGGGCACACAGTCTCCTGAGCGCCCCGGACCCCCTGCCTTCCTTGGTCTCACGCCCACCTTACTTCACCTGTAAAGAAAGCTCATACTGAAAAGACTGTGTCCAGACAGAATAAACCACAAACAGAACCCGAAAGCCAGGCCTGACAAACAGCATTTGTTCTGCTTTTTGAGGTCTAGGCAGTGACATATGTCTATTGTGTACCCAGTACACTAGACACGGGGCTCTCTGTCAACTCATACTGTGGATTCATCATTGGCCAGGTGTTCTACGTGGAGGCATGTGTATATGTATATGTATACAGTTCTCACGAAGAGGTGATTTTGCCCTACGGGACAATGGTAATGTCTGGAGACGTCTTACGATTGTCAGAGCTGGGATCTAGTGGGTAGAGGCCGGGGATGCTGTGAAACATCCTGCAGTGCAGATGTCAGCCCTGCAACGAAGAATCATTCAGCCCTAAATGTTGATGAACCTTGATATATATACACACATGTATTCATATATATATATTCATATATATGTATATCTATATGCGTGTATATGTAAATATATGTGTGTATATACACGTGTGTGAATAAATGTTTGCCTGTGTGACTGATACTTCAGACCCTAAAACACTGCACATCACCATTGTACCATTTTCACACTCATTGTACATTTTCTATTCTGGCATGTGTGCCTAGGATTCCCACACAGCAGATGCTTACTTGTTGGGTTCTTTTTTTCTTCACATTTTTGTAGAATGGGTGATTCCCACACTCAGAAAGCACCAAATGTAAGTGTGTAAAGTCAGTCTGAGCACAGGTGGAAGCAACAGGATTGGAAATTGCATTCATAAAGGTTCATCTTGTTAATGTCCCTCATATCATAGGTGTGTTACATATATTTTGAACTTTTTAAATATTTCAAAATAAGATTTTTAAAAACTCAAAAATCATAATTCTGTATCTCCTATATCTAAACAAACAAACACATTTAAAAAAAACACAAGTAGCACACAAGACTCGCTGATCTCAGTCTGGCTTTTTGCCCTCAGCTCTGTATCTTAGAGAACCTTCCATATCAGTGTATAGAGTTGCTTATTCTAAAGGCCATCACAGTAGAAGTCAGCCCTCCTTGCAAAAGCTTGTATGGAATGTCTTCACTGGAACATTCCAGGACTGAAGACACAGATGCACTGAGCAGAGTATTTTGTGAGAGCTGATTAGGTAGAGGCCAGGAGAAAAGATCTTAATGTGTAAGTATTCTTTCATAATCTGCTTTTGAAAATGCCAGATTTCACAACATTCACATCTTAGGGCCAGCTTCTGTGGTTTGAAAACTGCTTGTGAGACCATCACCTTAACTTGTGGAGTCAGATGTGGCATGTAACATACACACACACACCCCCCATGCAGAAAGGACCACTGCTTTCCTGGTGTGGATAGCCGCTGGCCCACATGGCCCCTGCAGGCCTCCTTCCTGAGGTGGTGCCAGTGGATATGCTGAAGTTTTGAGCTTGGAGCATCCTCGCCTGTTTCCTGAGTGTGGAGTCCCCAGGAAATGTTCCCCTCCCTCCTCTGCTCATCTTTGCTCACCTTGTTTTTTAGCGGCTTAATCCCTCACCTCCTGGGAGATGTGGTTTTCTTGTGGGGCTGTAACCTGCTGGCCCACTTCATCAATGCCTACCTGGTGGATGACAGCGTGAGTGACACCCCAGGGGGGCTGGGGAACGACCAGAATCCAGGTTCCCAGGTTGGTTGGAACAAGGACTTGTCCATCTTTCCATGTACTGCTGATGCCCAGGGTCTGGGGCAGACTTGAGGACTCTGGGATCTAAGCATCAGGCCCTGAGGGCTAGAGAGTGCCCCTGAGGAGAGGTCTGAGAGGACCTCCTGTTGTCCCAGGTCACTTTTGCCTCCGAGGAGAATGGCCTTGAGAGATAAGATCTATAACTAGACCTAGAGGGGTTTATGGAATGCCCATCCCTAGGCAGCTTTATAGGTAAGATAGACCCCAGCTTATCCAAAGCAGGTTTGAGGCAGTGACCCAACCAGGGATCCCTAGAAAATCAGGAGATAGACCAACTAATAATAACCCTTTAGCTTTTGCTCAGCGTTTTATGCTTTTTAAAGCCTTTCTGTGAACATTATGATGTTTGATCCTGACATCACGCCAGTTGTGAAGGGAACAGAGGGTATAACATCCTGTCTTACAGGTAGATTGAGACCCAGAGATTGACAGGCTCTCCCGAGGCACACGGCTGGCAATCAACAGGGCTAGGACTAGATCCTTCCCTGTGCCAGGCTGTGGGTGCTTCCCCCTTGAGGTTTTTCAGTCAGCTAAGAAGGGTACCATGAAGGTGCACCCCAGTGTGAGCTTAGAGTGGCCTACACAACCTGGTATGCACGGATCTCTGAGCAGATTGGGTCAGGCATGGGGAGGCCTTGGTCCTTCTAAAAGGCACTTAGTGAGGAAGGGTTTCTGGGGACTTGATAGGTTGACTGGTTCTGCATGAACCAAAATAAGAGTTGGGGAGTGGTGATGGGCGAGGGTTCCTGGTTGCCAGACATTCCAGCAGCAGGGATTGCCTACCACAGGAGGATAGATGAGAGGCTGGGGACCTGTCTGCCTGAATCACCTTTTCAGGGGTGGGGGGTTCATAGTCTCCATGTGTCTGTGTCTGGGCCTCAGAACAGTGGTTTGGGGTGGGGGTGGTCTGGGAAAGTGTGTGGCAAGGAGTGCCTGCCCCAGCTGAGAGCTCTGCTTAGAGGAAAACTGGCTATTTGATGTGGGTCAGTGAGTCTTACTGGCCTTTTAATGTAAGTAAATTAAATGACTCCATAGAGACCAGCTCCTATCTGCAACTACAGTGGCACAACCATGGCCCTGCCCTTTCTCGGGGCATTATGGGTGGGTGAGCTGCTGCCGTCACATACAAAGCAAGGCTGGGACAGCTTGGGGAGGGTTGGTGTCCCACGGTTGGTTTCCTCCAGTCCAGGTGGGCAGGTGTTTTACCAGGGGCTGCTGCACCTACCTCGCTGAGAGCAGCAGTCAACTCTTCATTGACAGTATTTTTCAAGTGCTTTTCTGTGTGTGGCTTAAAGGCTAGGGCAAGGCTGCCATTCAGGCAGAGGGCCGAGCAGACCTCTGCCCAGGGTTGCAGAGCATCCATCTTGTGGGATGGCCATGTCACAGGAAGCTGAGGGGTATGTAGTTACCCTTCTCAGCTGGGGGCTGTTTCATGGACAAAGTCGAATTCAGGAGTTGAGGCCTGAAGCGAATGAAAGCTTGGTGAGGTGGGGTGGCAGTAAGCCCATAGTTTCTCCTTGCCTCCTGCTATAGGACCAAGATTCTGTGTCTTGGTAGTTCTGGTGGGTGTCTGTCTTTTCATTCAGTAAGCACTTACTGAGCACCGACTGTGTGCCCAGCCCTGGACATTGATGAAGGCAGTCAAAGGCCAAGCCCTCAGAGCTCATGGCTCTGGGGGTTATGCAGGCCACAGTCTGAGTTTCTGACCAGCTGGTCACCATCCCCGTCGGAGTCGCAGAAGTCCCATCAGTCCGATTATCCCACTTCTGCCTCCCAGATCTCTTCTCAGCTCTGACTGTAAGGCTGTGAAAGCCGCTGGCAGACCCTGAAAGGGAACGCAGTGTGTACAGCGGGCGTGTGAAGAGCAGAGTACCGAGAGGGTGTGAGGCCAGTGTGGAGGGGGAGGTGAAGGGGGCCACAGACCAGGCAGCACAGATGGGGCAGGAGACTGCGTATCTGAAGTCCACATCCACGGCACCTGTGGCAAATCAGTCTTCCTTTATGTCTCTTCAGTTCAGCCAGGCCCTGGCCATCCGGAGCTACACCAAATTTGTGATGGGGGTAAGTCAAGCCAGTTGCCCTTCACAGTCCTGGGGCCTGGGCGGGGCTTAGGAGGCCAGCTCTGGTGGTGGTTGGAGGCAGGCCTCAGTATGGGGTGTTGGCTTAGTGCGTCCCTGCTCCCTGAGCCCAGGTCCAGGGCTGGTGGTGGGTGGAGTCACTGACACTCCGGTCTCCCGGCAGATTGCAGTGAGCATGCTGACCTACCCCTTCCTGCTGGTCGGTGATCTCATGGCTGTGAACAACTGTGGGTAAGTGAGCCCCTCTACCAGGTGCCCTGCCAAGGCTGCTGGGGGAACCCAGCTGAGCCCGTCCAGTGCTCTGCCCCTCCCGCTTGGTCTGTGTGTGGGCTCAGCCAACTAGGCACCCTGGCTTCCTCTGGGATTCACACCATTTGGGATGAATCTGTGGTTTGGTATGTGGGTCGTGGCAGCTCCAAGCCATTCCATCTCAAGGGCTTCTTTTCCTTGGTTGATCTGTCTCCCAGTGTTCTGTGGGTCTAATATGGCTTTCCTTCCCTGGGCAGGCTGCAGGCCGGGCTCCCCCCTTACTCCCCAGTGTTCAAATCCTGGATCCACTGCTGGAAGTACCTGAGTGTGCAGGTAAGCATGCTCCCCAGGGAGGTTTTTCCCACTCTTCTGCTCTATCTATCAGATGAAAAGGTTTTGTGTGCTCTTCATTACATGGAACATTAAGGGGTTGCCATGGAATCCAGTGCTGTGAGTGAGAAGGATAAAGAGAATGTAGACTTGGTTTGAGGCACTTGACTTAAATTTTACTTTTAGAAAGGATTGGAGGTAGTTAGATCTGAATTTACTTTAAAATTACACATCAGACAAGGTCTTTCCTTCAACTCTTAAAAAGACACTTAGAACAAGTACAAGGGAGCTCATGGTGGTAAAGCCCAAGAACTTCTTATACCGCGAATAACCGGGGCTGAAAACACAGCTGGTGTGTTGGAGGTCGTCTGGGTTCCCAGGAGAGCCTGAGGGTGGAGCTGGGCCATGTGGTCAGCTTGACAAGGGTGCTAGTATTGGGGTTTTTGTGTTCTATGTCCAAGCACCCTCCTGGCTGGAGCTCTTGCGCCCAGAGGTCAAGGATCCAGGTGTCTGGCCCAGGGCAAATCTTTGCCTTTTCCTGGCCTTGGTTGGCCTCAAAGCAAAATGGGACAGTGGCTTGGGAAGGAGGAGCCAGCCCACTAACTTGCCTCAAGGATGAGAAAGGACAGGAAGTGGGGAGGCAAGAGACAGACACAGGTCTTCCTGGCAACTCCGGTTGGCTCTGCATGCATCACATCCCGTGGTACTGGAGGAGCCCCGGATCACTTGGGCTCTGAAGCCAGAAGGGCGGTGTGTTTCCTCTGGGGGTTTCCTACTCAGTAGCCCCATCACCACTGGACATCTTGTGGCATGAAGTGGACCGCTCCCTTGTGCTTCAGCACAGGGCAGATTCTGACCTTGCCCTCCAGGAATGCAAGCTGAGGCCCTCCACCTCCAACCCTGGGGTCTCTGAGCGGCTGGACCCTCTGTGTCTTATACTGGCCTTGCTCTGGGGCAGGATGAGAAGCACGGCTTTGCCTTTCACTGACCTGGGGTCCTTCCAATCCAGGGTCAGCTCTTCCGTGGCTCCAGCCTGCTTTTCCGCCGAGTGTCATCAGGATCGTGCTTTGCCCTGGAGTAACCTGAATCACCATCAAAAACACGCTGTCTCAGCCTGGCCACTGTGGGTGAGGCCTGATCATCTCGGGACACCTGTAAGACGACCAACCTGGCAGCACCTAGATGTGCTCCAGCACAGCTGGGCTTCGGTTTCCATATTTGCCATGTGTCTGTCCAGAAGCAGGGGTTGGGTGGGGGTGAGGCTGCGCCCAGTGGATTGGTTACCTGCTAGACCTGGGGGAGGTGGAATGGGGCTGGGAACTTGGGGCAGAATCCCCTTACCTTGCAGATTTGCTGAGTCTGCCTCATGCAGGGGGCCAGAGAATGTCTTGTGGAGGCCCAGGCTGAAGGGGCAAAGGCTCCTAGGGTCAGGTCCCATCCCCACATTCACACCACTCGAGTCAGCCCCAGCTGTCAAACTGCAGCTCAGCTGGGAGCATCGCTCTCCTGCTTTGTAAATAGGACGTGACCCCCTTTCATGCGGCCACCATCATGTCTAGGCCTGTGCTAGGAAGCTCTCGCTAGGTCCTGCCTTCATTTTTCTCAACACTACTTTTCTGATAAGAAGGCTGTACCTTCTGAATGGGAAATCATGTGACAGCTCAGAATGTGTGCCCTAGTCAAATGCTCATTGGTTTAATGGTGACGCCTCATGTGCAGGATCTGGTTACCTGTGCAGTTGTGAACACCCAGATGTTAGATCAGTGTCTAGTCTTATCCAGTTTAAAGTTCCTAATAAGATTTGACCCTTTTTTCCTCAAATAAATGTGTTGGCGGTGATTTGGAGTTCTGTGGGGAGTCTCTTATTTTTATGAGCTTAACACTCTGCAGGGGCTTTCTCAGTCTTTTGTGGTTGTGTGAAAAGGGGCTGTAAAGCAACAGGGCTGGGGGCAGCTGTGAGAAGTGTCCAGACTTGGTGTTGATCAGCCTGGAGGCGGGGCGGGGTAGGGGGGCAAGGGTCGTTGGGTGGTTTTCTGAATTAGACAAGGCCAAGATGCCAGTTTACAGAGCACCAGCTAGTGCACAGGCCTGTTCCTAGGAAGACAGGCCCTTTAAAGCTTCCCAGCTTCAGAAAATGTTCCACCCAAACCCCCAGCTGTCATCTCAGAACTGTTTGCAGATGACATTGTCGGGTTTTGCTGGCTCAGTTGGTGTAGTGGTCATGTGGTTACAGCAGAAGGGGTAGATGTGGTGCAGCTAAGGCGCCAAGCTTAGCCTTCTCTGGAAAAGGCAAAGCTCCTTTTATTCGCTTCTGCCCAGCGCTGGGGTCTGTAAACACAAAACTTACAAATGGGATATGCTGGCCCCTGGGGACTGTGGGCTTCCAAGCTGATGGGGTTTTAATACCCCCCAGTTCAAGGCTGGCTGGGTTCCCTGGGCAGGTCTCTGCCCTTATTCTCGGGGAGTTGGCTTCAGAGAGCTGGGGTTTGGGACTTCGGTCATACTTCCTCACAGGTGTAGGGGCTGGGCCGTGCCCACGGAAGGCTCCGTGATTCTTTTGCAGAGCTGGTTTTCCCCAGAGGCCTAATCACAGTTGACTTGAGGGCAGTTTATCTCACGTATCCTTGTTCCCTGGGAATGCAGCAGTGTTCCTGTGCAGGTGTCCTGTGAATGTATGTTGGTGGGGGTCACTAAAGTCTTGCACTTACTTCAGGTGGCTGAGGTGGCAGGGAGGGAGAGCACACAGCAAGGGGAGCGGGCCTGGCCTTGCTGGCACCAATGCTGTAGAGGAGGAAGGCCCTTCAGAGGCCTAACTGCCACATGGCATATGACCTTTTTCCAGCCCAGCATGATTTCCCACACAACCCACTGACCACTGTCCTGTGGTAACATTTCTTCCCACTTCTCCACCCTCAAGTCCTATTATTGTATTGATTACTTTCTGTGATCCCCCAGATTCAAGAGTCTGAGCTGAAGTGGTCCTAAAGAGCCCCTCCCTCTTACAGCCACCTCCTCCCAGGTGTTTGGAAAGGCCACCTGAGTAAAGAGCCAGCCTGGGTGGGCCTGGCGAGTCACTTTGAGGAAAGCCAGTGCTGTTCTCAAGTAATACCCTGGGAGTTCTGAATTTCAGGGTCTTGACTACATTTCCTAGGTTATGCCTACCCAGAAATGGCAAGAAAATCACCTTTGATACTCTGTCTCGGTTTTTAGTTGAGCAAAGTACAGGTTTTACCCCTAACGATTTTCAGTTCAGTATTGAAGTGAATGTATTGTGTATGTTAAGTGCTCCCTTTGTTTCCTGGACCTTTCAGTCTTTGAGAGCTGAAGCCTCCTTTGCCTCCCCTGCCCCCACCCTCTCCCCCTGGCACTTAGCAGGTTTCCTTTCAGTCCTGGAAACTAGAGTGACAAGGTCCTTATCTGACAAAGGAGATTGGGTTTAATTGGGGCAGGAGGGAGCTGAGCTGTCAGCAAAAGGAAGGGTGGTGGGAGTGGGAATGTCCTTGTGGGGAGCCAGTCACTTTCCTCCCCTCCTGGAAAACCTAATTCTGATGGACAAAGCTGGAAAATCTCTGACAGGCCTTTTGGGAACTCCTGTGGTAAAGTCTGAGGTGGCAGCAGTGGCCTGTGCTAGGACAGCCCTTGTTACTGTGCCAGTGCCCCAGTGCCTGGGAGTCGTGCAGCCTAGTGCTGAAGCAGACCCATCCCACTCTGGTCCCCGAGGCCTCTGAGTACCAGCCCCCTGCCCTTCTTTTGAACATGCCCTCCATTCTCATGGGCTTCTGACACACCCCTTCCCGGCCCAGTTGTTACAGCCCCTGCCTGACTAATATGGGACACCATGTCTTGGCTTCTGTTACTTCCCAAAAAAGTTTCCAAAGAAGTCACTGCTGCTGATCTTAGGTTTTCTCATACGACAGGTTTCTTGAAGGCTGGACATAGGTGCTCTTGCTTTGCAGAAGGCCAGCAGATCCCACCCCAGAACTGAGAAGGATGGGTTTGGACCTCTACAGTCTGGTTCTGCCCGGAGGCTACCTTACCTGACCACCTCACAGGACTTGGGACTAACTTGAGAAAACAGGCTCACAAGGGGAGGGACATCCCCCCCCCCACCCCCTCAGGAAGGCAAGTTGGGTCAGCCTCTGAAAATCAGTTAATGTAATATATTCTATCCATAAAAGGAACAAAACCATATGATCATCTCAACAGACAGAAAAAGTATTTAACAAAATTCAATATCCCTTCATGATGAAAACATTCGGAAATCTAAAAAGAGAAGAGAGCTTTCTCAACCTGAAAAAATGGCATCTATTAAACCACATGGTAAAAAACCTAATGTTTCCCCCTAAGATCAGGAATAAGACAAGGATGTCTGCTCTTGCCATTTCTCAGCATTGTACTGGATGGTCTAGCCAGGGCAATAAGGCAAGAAAATGAAATAAAAGTTATCTGTGTTAGAAAGGCAGAAGTAAAACTGCAGATGATCTTATGTATAGAAAATCCTAAAGAATCCACTAAAAATACTGTTACAGCTAACAAATGAATTCAGCAAGGTTGCGGGATATAAGATTGATACACAAAATCAATTGTATTTCTATACACTTGCAATCAAAGTGAAAATGAAATTAATAAAACAATTTCATTTACAATAACATAAAAATAAAGTATTTATGAACAAATTTAACAAAAGAATTACAAAATTTATATTTTGAAAACTTGCACAGTGTTGAAAGAAGACCTAAATAAGTGGAAAGACTTGGATCGGGAAACTTAATATTTTTTAAATGGCAGATTACACGATCTCCATCAAAATCTCAGCTGACTTCTTTGCAGAAATTTAACAAGCTCATCCTAAAATTCATACAGAAATTCAAGGTACCTAGAATAGCCTAAACAATCTGGAAAAAGAACTAAGTTGGAGGACATGCAGTTGGCAATTTCAAAACTTAACCTATATAGTAAGCTATAGTAATCGAGACAGTATGGTACTGGCATAAAGATAGATACATAAATCAATGGGATGTGATGGAGAGTGCAGAAATAAACATTTACATTTTAATTCACACAATTAACTATAAAACTCAAAACAGGCATAAATCTTTGTGACCTTGGATTTGGCAATGTTTCTTAGATATAACATCAAAAGCACAAGCAAGCAACAAAAGAAAAAAAGATAAACCGGACATCATCAAAATTTAAAACTTGTGTGTTCAAAGGATATCGTCAAGAAAAACTGAAAAGACAACTCACAGAATGAGAGAAAATGTTTGCAAATCATGTATCTGGTTAAGGGACTTGTATCGAAAATATATAAAGAACATTATTTTGTTTATACAACATTGTAGGAACAACTCAGTAATAAAAAGACAAATACCCCAGCTACGACGGGCAAAAGACATGAATAGACATTTCTCCAAAGAAGATACACAGATGGCCAATAAGCACATGGAAAGATGCTCAATGTCAGTAACCATCAGGGAAATGAAGGTCAAAACTGCGATGAGATAATACTTCACACTCACTAAGATGACTGTAATCAAAAAAGACATAATAACAAGCATGGTAACATGGAGAAATTGAAACCTTTATATATTGCTGGTACAAATGAAAAATGGTGCAGCCACTTTGGAAAGTAGTCTGGCAGTTCCTGAAAAAGTTAAACACAGAGTTACTATATGATCCAGAGTTACCATATGATACCACTCCTACCCAAGAGAAATGAAAACATGTCCACACAAAAACTTCTACATGAATGTCTATATTTATAGTAACATTATTTATAATAGCCCAAATGTGGGAACAACCCAAATGCCCATCAATTGATGAATAGATAAGCCAAACATATTCTATACAATGGAATACCACTTGGTAATAAAAAGGAATAAAATACTATTTCATGCTACAACATGGATGAACTTTGAAGATATGCTTAGTGAAAGAAGCCAGACACAGAAGGCCACATACTGTATGATCCCATTTACACAAAATGTCAGAGAAGGCAAATCCATAGAAACAGCAGTGGTTTAGGGTAATAAAAATGTTCTAAAATTGACTGGTGATGGCTGCACAACCCTGGGAATATACTAGAAATCATTGAGTAGTACACTTTAAATGGGTGAATTTTATGGTA